TAATGAGGCTGATATCCAGCACGATAACAGTAATGATAATAACCTAAAGAATAATAATAGTAACAATGGTTATAAATATCATTATTATAATGATTAATATTAGCATTATCATACTATCAATAACAACAGTATTATAATAATAATGATAATAATAATAATAATAATAATAATAATGATAACAATAACAAAATAATAATAACAAACAGCAACAACAATAATAATGATAATAATAGTAAAGATGGTAGTAGTAATAATAATAATAATAATAATAATAATAATATTAATAATAATAACACTAATAATAATAATATTATTATTATTAGCAAATAGCAATACGTAATTATAATTTAAGTATCAATAATAAAAAATAACAACTACAACAGTAAATTATTATTATTAATAAATAATGGTGATTTTCACAACAAAAACAAAAGCAACAACAATATTAACAACGATAATAATAATAATAATAATAATAATAATAAGAATAATAAGAATAATAAAAAGAAAGAAACATGACGAAGAGATTGGAAGAAAACACCAACAAAAACAAAGAATAAGAAGAAACAAGAGAGACAAAAAATAATATACACGAAAATACAATAATAACAATAATGATGATAAAACAAAACACAACAAAAAGGGAAGAGAACGATAACTACAACAATACTATTCTTGCCAATAATAAAAATCTGAATGAAGTCTACCCTTAAACCGTTTTCTATAGACTTCACCTTCAACCCATTTTCTTTCATGAAATGAAACCCATAACTTATCTATTTTTTGGAACAGCGCGATAGGTAATTGTTTTCTTTCTTTCCTTAACTTTACTTTATTCTTAACATTATTTTATCATCTGAGAATTAGAGGAGAGAATAAATCCAAAGAAATAAAGAAAATAAAAAACATTGGCCATGAACTCAAAATAAGATAAAAGAAAAAGAAAACAAATAAATATTTACACAATTCTTCGTTATATGCATGTCTATGAACGGCCGGCATCACATTAATTCACAATATATCGTTATATTATCGAATACTCGTTAACATGTTATATCGTTAAATCAACAAGAATACTAAAGTTCTCTCTGTTCATTAAGCTGTTAACGTGGCAAATAATTTTAAATAATCAATAAGTCTCTGTTCATTATTCTGGAGATAAATATGAACACATTCTTCAACAACAGAATCAATTGTTAACACGAATAAGAACCATATCGATAATATTGATTATGTAATATAATAATGATAATAATAATTACAATACAATCATCATAATAATAATTATACAGCAATGATGATTATAAAACAATGATAATAATAATAGTAACAGCAATAGTATTAATAATAATGATAATGATAATAGCAACAAAAATGACAATAACATCAACGGCAACAATAATGATAATATACCAAAAGTAGCGGTAATAATAGTAGCAATAACAACAATAATAATCATAACAAAAATGAAAATAATAACAACAATAGTGGTAAGAATAGTAATACTAATAATGAATAAAGTAGTAGAAGCAGTAATAGTAATACAACGACAGTAATACTATTAATAACAGCAATGATAATGATGATGATGATGATGATAATGATAATAATAATAATAATAATAAATGTTACACCAATAACCATACTAGCATTGATAAAGATAATGGACATATACAAAAAACCACAAACGAAGCATTGATTAAAACACCAAATAACAAAAAAACACGAACAGAATACATTACTGATAAGAAGTAGCGCGTAAAATAATTAACCCTGAGATCACTACGAGGTATAAAAAAAAAAAAAAAAAAAAAAACGCCTTCGATAAGCATAAACAACGAAGTCACTTACGAAATAACCTTTCTAATCTTCCTTTTTTTTATCATCCTTATCAATGACAGTCATCAAGTGCTATCAGAGTCAGAGAAAACCCCCACGTGAGCCTCTTGATCTAAAACCAACCACGTGCATGTCAAACGGAAATGCACTCACACTGGCTTTACTTTTTCACAACCCACGTACGCTTAAGTTATTCCAAATGAGGGGGGGAGGGAAGGTGAGGGGGGGCGTGTGTGACGAAATGGTAAAATCCTGATATATTATTCTTGATCAATTGCATTCCGTTTTATTTTATTTTATTCATTTATTATTATTTTTTTCATATTCCGGTATATTCCGAGCTTGCTTCATATGCTAAATAATCGTTAAAAAAAAAAAAGCTCTTGAAAGTTTATATAATACTCCTAGTGTCGGTATTTGTGAAAGCTTAGATAACATTTGCGCTTGTAACATGATAGAAAAAAACAACAACATAAAAATGGCTTTGATATGTAATTACTCATCGAATGATAGCTATCTTATCAGCATTGCGATATCATGGGGAATTTATTATTAAAAAATGATATTGTATTATTTCTACTGAAAATATTATTTGTAAGTCTCATACTGTGCCAGAGAGAGAAATAGGGAGGGGAGGAGAGGAGAAAGGAGAGAGGGAGAGAGAGAGAGAGAGAGAGGGAGAGAGAGAGAGAGAGAGAGAGAGAGAGAGAGAGAGAGAGAGAGAGAGAGAGAGAGAGAGAGAGAGAGAGAGAGAGAGAGAGAGAATCAATCAATCAAAATGAAACATTGAGAGACGTAAATATCTACAAGTGACCAAATTCATTGCCCAAACTGAACACTCAAATTCACGAGATATATGAAAACTCCTTGTCAGGTCTTTGGGTTATACTACAGCCTCGAGGGAGACTGCAGTAGGGTAGTAGCTTTATGAAGTAGAGAGAGAGAGACGCGTGTATAGAATCGAACGCGCGAAACACACACACACACACACACACACACACACACACACACACACACACACACACACACACACACACACACACACACACACACACACATACAGAGAGAGAGAGAGAGAGAGAGAGAGAGAGAGAGAGAGAGAGAGAGAGAGAGAGAGAGAGAGAGAACGAAATAAAGAAAGCGACACCGACAAAGAGAACGATAATAAGAACGAAAATCGGCGACACCGACAGAGAACGATAATAAGAACGAAAATCGAGATCGACAAATCAAAAGAGAGAGAGAGAGAGAGAGAGAGAGAGAGAGAGAGAGAGAGAGAGAGAGAGAGAGAGAGAGAGAGAGAGAGAGAGAGAGAGAGAGAGAGAGAGAGAGAGAAAGCGGGTTGCATCATTCTCCGAGCCGCACCACGTGCTTTGGCTCCGTACTTCCAGTCGATACAGAGGCATGGAATGTATCCGCGTTTCTATTGGTCGCCAGCTAATACACGTCCAGACAAGGCCCATGAATTACGAACTGTCGATATTATTGAGCCTATGCACTCCTGAGCCGGGGAGGAACTGTTACTAAGCCACGTGGCCATCTTTTGAAGAGGGAAGAAGAAGGATAAGAAAAAAATATATATAGATATATCGGCACCTCATACTGACGTCAGCGAACCACGTGGGCTCAGTGATAGGGGGGGGGGAAGGAATGGTGGGTGGGAGGTTGAGGGGGGGAGAGGAGAGGAGGCGGGAGGAGGAAGAATGACGGGGGGAGGAGGAGGAGGAGGGGGGGAGGAAGGAGGGGAGAAGGTGACTAGGATTTCCCAGAAAAAGGACCGAGGAAAGCAGGTACTGGCGGTGGTTTGGTTGGTGGCGGGGAGGGAGAGGGGGTATGTGGGGTAGGTAGGGGGGTGGGCGAGGGGGAGGTGGGATGAGTGGGGGGGAAGGAGACGGGGGAAGTTGGGTGGTTGGATAGGAGGGAGGGAGGGAGAGGGAGGGGGTACGTAGCCGGCTGGGGAGGGATGGGTGGTAGTGGTGGTGGTGGTGGGGATGCCATATCGATTTGCTCTTGAGCGCTCCAACCCCGAACCCCCAACCCCCCCATCCCTCCCGTCCACACACATGCATACCTACATATGTTCCTCCGTGTAGCCTAGGTCTTTAAACCCATACAAGGTCAGACTCCGAAACAAACAAAAAAAGAGAGAAACTCCGCGAAGACGAAACTAGATTTAAACCTTATTTTTCCTATTCTCTGCTGTTTCTTAATGACCGGAAGAGAACATTGGCAGGTGGAACAGTAAACCGAAAAGTTATTAGAACAAGAAGTCACCATCTGCCACGGCGAGGCAAGGACAAACAGAATGCCTCGGTTCTATAATCAGACGAGGGGTGTCTCAGGCAGGCAGTGTCCCCAGCGTGTCCGAATCACATACAACGTCAGTGCAACACGTTAGTACTTTCACACAACCGCCGCCAACTCCACCACCTCCACCACCGCCATCGACACCGCTGCCACAACCACCTCCTCCACAGTGTTAATCCACCACTACCACAACTGCCTGATCTGCATCTTACCCGCGGAATCCACTGGTACATTCGCTTGTACTGGTATATTTTGTCCCACAATAGCCGGTCTAACGTGGTTCAACTTAGTCCAGTGACTGAGCTGGTACGGAGGAGGCGGTACAAGCGGCCGACGTGTCCCAACCCTTGCACTCTGACCAATGGCTTCCGCCGTGCGAACACTGCATTCTGGGCATATTGCATTTCTTGCCCCGGTGCTTGTGCAGGCGCAACTCTCCTGTACTTAATGTTCGATGGGAGCTGGAAAAGCGTTCGTGAGCGACGTGGAAAAAAAAAATTGACTCTCAGCGAGCGAGCTTCTGGTAGCGGGTTTGTGGCCGGTGATCCGGTTTCCGTAGTTTGGACATCTAGTTAGTTGTCTGGCGCCCCGTTTTAAAGAAACACGACGCGCAGCCTAATTAATCATACTGGCAATCTCTCCGACACCGTTCCGTAGCTGCTATCAAAATTTATCTTGCAGTGCGGCATTTTGTACGGTTTTGAATAGTTTTGAATATGCTCGTTGACGAAGCGCAGTAGGCGTCCGCGTAAACTACCTTGCAGTGTACAGCAATTTAGACGGCAATATTACTTGTGCAAAATAACCCACTATGATGTGCACCTAGAAAAGGATAAAGGCCATGAATACTTTACCGTGCCATTATGACAGAACACGAGGCCGCGCGAGTGCGCATGCGTGGGCGTCCGCCATTTCGTGAGCCTCCGCGGCCACTCGGAGGCGAGGAGCCCGAGCGCGCGGCGGCGGAGGTTCTGCTCGGGGAAGCGGCCAGTCGACCGATGACAGCCGTCCCGAGAGGAGGTTCGTGGGCGCTAGTTACGGGCAGGACACTCGATGCACTCATGTTATACAATTAAAGGGAACAAGTCGCTAATGAATGTCTGTTGATAAATGGTTTTGTTTGCACCCCAGGTGTCCTGTGTGGACACGACCCTCCTTTAAAATTGAGTTCGAAAGGAAGAGAAATTTGAAGGTGTTTTCAAAATTCTCTGATGGAGGTTTGCTTGGAATTTTGTAACATAGCCACGCAGGTCTCGCTCCGAACAGTGGATCCCAAACGCTTCAAGCACTGCACAGTGTGCTGTGTCCGTGTGACGTAAACCTTGCGTCTCGTACTGCACAGTCTGCTGCTGCTGCGTGACATAATGCGTTTTCCAGTGTTCCACCAATGCGTGCCAGCCAGTCTTGATGCCACTCCGTTGAACTCTGTCTTTGGCGTTCTCATCCCCGTCTTACGGTGAACCAGAATCTAACTGCCGATGACGAGTGAGCGACGTAACAATAAAGTTTATTAAACTCCTGGGACGTAAAGGCATTACTTTTCGATTTTTCGCCGACGTATGAATTGACGCAGATAACATTTTGGAGACTTGTTCACACACAAGCCGGGGAGGAGGAACACGAGCGTGGTGTTTTTTCTTTTGACTCATTCGTGACGGATTCCCCAAGTACTCCCGAGTGGAAGGAAGACCTGCCACCTAATTCGCCGCTGTGACGAAGGGACGTAAAGCACATTGGTAGATGTCCTTTGACCCGTATTTAAAGGTGATCCCTGAGTGCTAGTGGTGCGGCCGACGCCTCCTTGCTGCTTCGTAGAATGGTCAGGGGCCCTTTAATCAATGGACTAGCACAGGCTGCAGTCACGAGGGGTCGGACTTTGTAGTCTTGATTAATTGAGTGATAGAGGGTGGCGACAATCTGCACTGTGATGTGAAATCGGAATTGAGGAAGGGGTCTGCTGCAGGTGGATGGGGGGGGGGGGTAGGGGAGGTCAAGGGGGGAAACTGATGGTAGTAGAGGATGACTGGTAGTTCTTGACGGGGATTTTTGTTGGTGGTGGAGAGTGCTGGCAGAGGGAGACTAGATTAGAGCGAGTTCTGTTTTGTTTATTTTTGGGCATTATGTAAGTTTACCGTGTTCTTGGGGGAAATGTGGATCCACCCACTTGCGAACACACGCACCCACACACACACATATGTAAAGTTTATTAGAACTCTACGATGTAGTCGAACACGAGGGAAATCGAAGAACATTTTCGTTTTTCGTGCTACAGCGAAAGTTTCCATAGTTATCAATTGCGTTCTCTTTGCGAGGACTGTAAGTACTTTTAGTAGTCTTTATCTGTTAGTGTTCCGTCATTCACTATTTTGCCCAACACGTCTTGTTACATTTGCTCGTTTTATGCAGTCATGTGAGTGTTTTCTTATACACTTTTTATATTTAGATCTGGCTGTTGCCAAATCTCTTGTGAACGAGTATACCCTTTTGTGTTCTTGTGCTTGAGTTTTGCAGCCTTTGCTCTTTTTTCTCTCTGGCATCTGTGCTTCGTCAGGGATGTTAGCCAAGGTCTCTGTGCTGTTGCGTTTGCTGGCTATGAAGTAACGTAGCTGAGGTTGGTAGTCTCATCAGCTGCGTCGTGCATTTTCCCTCTGCGGCCGTACACGCCACTCCGTCTGTTGGCTGTGCGGTTGCATTTAATTGTTTGTCGATCCTTAAGAGTAGTCCCATAGTTCGTTCCGGTTATGTAGCCCCTTCTGTTTGTTGTGTATTGTGTAGACCTAGTGTTTATGCTGTTTATTTTCATGTTTTTTTAATGACGGCCGTCTCTCCAGCTCTGCGTCAGCACCTCTTGTTTATCTCTTCTCGTGGTCAGGCAGTCCCGAGTTATGCCTCAAACTTCGTGCTTTAACAAGCTTATTAGATTTTACTGTAGCTCTGTGTTTCGCGGTTAAAGACAGGAAGCTTGTGCTAGAAATAAAGAAGTTTAAACTGTGTTTTGAAGCAAGTTACCGGTCTTGCAATTGCTATGTTTTAAGACGCGAAAACACTGCGTCAGTCGCATCTCCCTCAAGGCTGCGATTAAATATATACTCGCGTTTCTTTTTATCGAACCTCACGTATATTAATCCGCTTGCAAACACATAAAAGACCGTTTTTTGAGATATACCCCGTTAAAGGTAACGAATTCCAATCCAGTCTTGTAACCACCAATTCGTAATAAATACTCGGAGAAGGAACTCTAGGTAATAAGCATAAACAGTTACAAAATAGATAAGCAGATGGCATAGAAATATAAAAATGCAAATAGAAACGAAATGAAACTTGTAATCCAGGTCAGACAGCCTTTGTAAGCAGTAACTGTACCAGAGACTTGTTTTATGGTCTGTATACTGACTGTATTGTCTGTGTTCTCTCCGGGGCCTGTGTATCATCACTGCAGTAGTGTCATATTGCGTGTGTCTGAATTCACGATATATAAAAACATTGGGTTATGTGGATATTAAAATATTTATCGAGTGGGGTATACTTGAAAATATATTATTAGCATTCATGTATATTTCGAGAGGAACATTTGGAAAAAAAGGATAAACATTAAAGTAATATGCCGTAGGGATTATAAAAAGATATATATATTAGAAGGATGAAAATATACATATCGTGGGGAATATATTTGAATATGATATAAGCAAAGTAATGATGGTTGGAAAATTATTCATGGGAATATGGAAATAAATTAATGGATATTGGGAAATCATGCTTATGAGATGATGAGTAAAGGAAGAATTTTCAAAGTTTTATTTTATTTATTTTGTTGTGATTTATTCTGAGAGTTTTCGCAAGGACGGTGGGATAATGATGATGATGATGGTATAAATGATTTTAAAGAAATATGATGTGACTGACGGTAATTACATTAGGATGATTCGTATCATTTTTATTATTTTTATCTATATCGTCATTATCATTAACGATACCACCACCACCACCACCACCACCACCACCACCACCACCACCACCACCACCACCACCACCACCACCACCACCACCACCACCACCACACCACCACCACCACCACCACCACCACCACCACCACCACCACCACCACCACCACACCACCACCACCACCACCACCACCACCACCACCACAACAACAACAACACCACCATTTTAATAAATCCACTAAGTTCTCTCTTTCAAAATATCTCTCTCTCCTTCACCTTCTTCTCCCTCGTCTCTGTGCCACAGTCCGCTCCCCTCCCCTCCCCTGTCCCTCCTACTCCTACCTCTACTCCCCCTTTACTCCCCCCCCCCCGTCTCCCAGTATGTTTGTTCTCGTTGCACGCTGTTCATTTGCATCGATTTTCCACGTTCCGCCTATGAATTATTATTTTTTTTTCGGGGCGATGCAGAAGATGCAGAAACTCGGGTGTCGGGGAAGAGAGAGAGAGAGGGGGGGGAGGGGGGGAAGAAGGGAGAGGGAGAGGGAGAGAGAGAGAGAGGGGAAGAAGGGAGAGGGAAAGGGAGAGGGGGAGGGAGAGGGAGAAGGGGGAGGGAAGAAGGGAAGGAGCAAAGGAGAGAGGGAAGGATGAAGGAAAGATGGAGAGGGAGGGAGGGAGAAAGACAGAGACAGAGAAAGCGAAAGAAAGAGAGAAAAAGGATACGAGAAGGGAAGACAGTGACATGAGATGTGACAAAACAGGACGAAGAAGAGAAAGAAAAAACAACAACAAAAAAGAAATAACAAAAATAAAATAAATAAATGACCCTAAACCCAAATTCACGAAACAGATCCTGAATTACACACAGACAAATTATGCCACAAACGCAAAACAACGCAAAATGAACTTTAAGAAGACGCATTACTCTCCTAACCTGCTTAGTCCACTGCCGAATGTCCCTCCCCCACCCCCCCTCTTTTAGCGCATTAGGCATGTATGTAGGCCTAATGAGGTAAATAATGTTCTAGGTAAATGAAAAGAGGGAAAAAGGCGAGTTGGTTGATAATAGAACTGTTTCAACACGCAAGCACACACACGTGAACACGCACAGATACATGTTCAAAATATGTACGCACATACGTACATGGTTGACGTGAAAACACGTACATAGTCATATGCTCAGACAAATCTACTTTAAAAAGCACTAATACATACGAACTTAGACTTTTTATTACATATTATACATATACACATTTATAGCTACATACTCAGCAGTCACGCACAGACACACATAAGTAACAGACACACGTACACATAGCTATACATACACGCAGCTACACACGCAACGGGTATAGACACACACAGCTACGCAACTACACACACACACACACACACACACACACACACACACACACACACACACACACACACACACACACACACACACACACACACACACACACACACATACACACATACACACATACACATATACACACACACACACACACACACACACACACACACACACACACACACACACAACCCAGTCAGCAGTCATCATGCATTAGTCAAGGGCCCTCATCCCCCTTCCCTCTCCCTCCCTCCCCCCCCTTACCCAAACCCTAAACCTTCAATCCTCCCCCTTCCCCCTCCCCTTTCCCCCCAACCCCCATGGCTCTGACCCTCGCAGTAGGAGAGGGTCACACCCTCGGGAAGAAAGGGGGGAGGGGAGGGGAAAGGGTAGGGGTAGGAGGAGGAGGGGGGGGAGGGAAGGGTAGAAGAGGGTAAAAGGTGGAGGGTTGGGGGAAGAGGAGGGTGAATAGTGTGTGTGGGGGGGGGGGGGTAGGAAGAAAGGGTGAAGTGTGAGGGGTGAGAAGTAGGGGGGGGGGAGGGATGAAGGGTGTAGGGTAAACGGGGGGGGGGGAGCTCTGTGTAAAAGGCAGTTCTCAGGCAAGTCATGCAAGAACCAACGGCGTACACACACACACACACACACACACACACACACACACACACACACACACACACACACACACACACACACACACACACACACACACACACACACACACACACACACACACACACACACACACACGCAAAAATGCAAGTCTATGATCACACATCCGTCTCTATTACTCTCTATGGAAAGCAAACGCGTATACATACCTACACACGTAATGTACATACGCATGCAGCTACTCATGCATATACGCACACGGATACATACACTATTATTCGGGATGCAGGACAAGCACGTACACGAGCAAAAGACTTACTCACACGCACGCACACACACACATACATACACACACACACACACACACACACACACACACACACACACACACACACACACACGCACGCACACACACACACACACACACACACACACACACACACACACACACACACACACACACACACACACACACACACATACACACACGCACACATATTACTCTGATCCTCACGTGGCTTGAGAGGGTGAGAAAGGAAGGGATAAAGGATGAATAGAATGGAAGGAAGGATTAGGAATATAAGGAAGAGAGGATGTTAGGATTAAGATTGCGAAAGAGGGAAGTAACAGAGAGAAGAAGATTATAGTAGAGGTTTCCTTCTTTACCAATCGTTCTTTCTTCTATTGCATATTTTCTTCTCTTTCTTTTCTTCTTCCTTCTTCCTTCTTCGTCTTCTTCTTCTTCGTCTTCTTCTTCTTCTCCTTCTTTTTCTTCCTTCTTCCTCTTCTTTTTCTTCATTCTTCTTCTATTTCTTCTCTTCTTCCTCCTCCTTTTTCTTTTTTCTCTTCGTTCTCATCCATTTTGTTTATTGGATCTAAACAAAGCAAAACAAACAAAAAAAAGGGAAACACATTCTTTCC